TTAACTTAAGGTCAATCATTAAGGGTTTTAATTACATCAGAAAATTCCCATCATCTTTTCCATAAATTGTAACCTAATCAGAGGTGGCACCCCATAATTTTTGTTAAATTCTATTGATTAGAAGCAAGTTACAGGTCCTGCATACTCAAGGGAGATAATTATATAAGGGGCATGGGCATTGGGGCTCATCTTAGAATTCTGCCGATCACATAGGTGTAATGTGATATCTTATTGTTGTTTTTTAAATTGTGGTAAAATATACATAACATAAAACTTACCATCTTAACCACTTTTAAGTGTACAGTTCAGTGATAGTAAGTACATTCACACTGCTGTGCAGCCACAACCACCATCCATCTCCAGAACTTCTTCATCTTGCAAAACTGAAACTCTGTACCCATTAAATTCTAACTTCCCATTTCTCCCTCCCTTCATCCCTGGTAACCACCATTCTACTTTTTAATTTTATTTTATGAATTGGATTATTTTATTGTCTCATAGTATTTGTGTTTCTGTGACTGGTTTATTTCATTTAGCGTAATGTCCTCAAGGCTCATCAATGTTACAGCATCTGTCAAAATTTCCTTCCTTTTTAAGGCTGAATAATATTTCATTGTATGTATCTACCACATTTTGTATACCATTCATCAGTCAGTGGACACTTGGGTTTCATCCATTTTTTGGCGGTTGTGAATAGTGCTGCTATGAACATGGGAATACAAATATATCTTTGAGATCCTGCTTTCAATTCTTTGGGGGTATATACCCAAAAGAGGGATTCCTGAGCCAGGTGATAATTCTATTCTTAGATTTTTGAGGAACTGATAGTATTTCTAGTGGCTGCACCATTTTACATTCCCAACAGTGCACAAGGGTTCCAGTTTCTCCAATCCTCAACCAACACATTATTTTCTGTTGTTGTTGTTTTTACAATAGCCATCCTAATGGGTGTGAGTTGGTACCTCACTGTGGTTTTTTTCATTTCCTAACTTAGTAGTGATGTTGAGCACTTTTTCAGGTGCTTATTGGCCATTTGTATGTCTTCTTTGGAGAAAAGTCTGTTCAAGTATCTTATTATAATCTGCATTTCTCTACTAATGATTTTGCCCATCTTCTCATGTATTTCTTCCAAAAATTGCCTGCTCATAACCTTTGTCCATTTATTTTTCTTGTTAATTTGTAGGAGTTCCTTGTATATTGAGGCTCTACTAATCTTGTAAATTTTAGACTATGCATATATCTTCCTTCATTTTGTGATGTGTCATTTGGAACAAATAGCTTTAATGTTGACATAATAAAGTGGGTCCCTCGCCCCGCCATTTTTTTTTTTTTTTTTTTTTTGCACGATGAATTGTGCTTTGATAGTTTGTCTAAGAAATCTTTTCCTCCCTCTAGGTCTCAAAGATGATCCCCTCCATGTTATTTTCTACCAATGTTATAATTTAACCGTTCAGACTGACTTTTTTTTCTATTATTAATCCTTGCCTGAGGATATTTTTTTCCATTGAGTTTTAGAGAGAGTGGGAGGGAGGGAACGGGAGAAACAGAAACATTGAGGTAAGACACATTGATTGGTTGTTTCCTTCACGTGCCCAGACCTGAGCCAGGATCATTCCCAGGTACATGCCCTTGACCAGGAATCGAACCCACTCACAACCATTTGGCCCGTAGGCTGACGCTCTACCACTGAGCCACACCAGCCAGGGCCACCTTGACTTTTTAATCCACCTTCTCAGCACTCATCTTGTATGGGATTACATTGTGGCTTTTTTCTATAAAGCCAGAGTTTTTCCAGTAAGAACAACTCTTGCCCCACTGATTTGTGATGTATTTTTTTATTGTACCTAAACTCCCCTATAGCCAGGATCCATCTCTGAACTCTCCATACTGACCCAGTGGGTTGTCCATTCTTCCACTAACACCATACTAGGGATTTTAAAACAATGTCATTGTATGTCTGAATCTCTGGGTGGGAGGAGGAGTTTCCTGTAGGCCTTTCTCCCTCCTCACACATTTCAAAATAAGTTCATGTAGCTGGAACTTTTATTAGGATTACAGTGAAGTTATGGATAAATTTAGGGAGAATTGACATCATATATTAGACCACCTCTCCTTGATAGCAGATCCAGGTCTGAAAGGTGAAGCTTCTTTTGAAATGTCTAATTGCAGCAAACAAAATTTACTCACATTTCTTCCAAAGAAGCAACATAACAGAGGCAGAACTCTACTAGATGACAGACAGATCTCTGCCATCCCAATCTGTCCAACTGTCATGTCTGAAACATCTGTCTTCAGATGACTTCTCAGCATCAAATCTCCCTACTGACCACTGCAAAACCCACTGCCTCTATACATGGAGTTCCTAGAGCAAAGAGGTATTGGGTAAATTCAAGTCTGTACTCTTAGGAGGCAACTTACCACTTCAAAATAAAGGTGTTTTTGTTTTGGAGCTTCAGAATCCCGGGGTTTAGTTGTGGGCAGTGTATTCTGATACAAAGACAGACAAGAGGGGGGGAAAATGGATACTGCAAGTGCTAAAAGGACATTGCAAACGTGGGTGGATATGGATATACAGCCTGGGTAGACAGACACAAAGTGGGACCAAAAAAGGGAAATATGGCTACACCCTGGAGAGGAAGGGTGGAGGCAGTCCCATCAGGGTGGTGTGTTAGAGAAGAGGGAGGAATGCGAACCCGCCTTGGACTCTCAGGCCCAGCCAGGCTCCGCTGTGGCTTTGTTCACTCCGTGGGATTCTCTGGCATCTGAAGTGTGTTAGTTACATAGGTGCTGGGTGGGAACAGATCACAGTCATCCCCTTTCCTAGTCCGCAGGGCTTGCTGGTCCCCAGCGGGTGCTGGGGACGGCGGGGAGATGCAAGCGCCCATTCACCCGGAGCTTCAGGCTGAGGTAGGTGTCAGGTATTAATCAAATGATCACCGGAATAAAGACACCCTGGTCATAGGACCAGCTGCAACCCGGGCAGCTCCTGACTGCAGCTTGTCCCTGACTATGATCTGGAGCTCTAATCAACAAAGGGGATGACACCGGCTAGGCTTGAATTGTTTTCACAACCCAAAACTTGTTTCTGGCGATTTTCTGTCTTTTCTAAGTGTCCCCAACTCGGAATTTTGCTAGAACCTAAACTCCAGCTTGGCGGCGTGTGTACCTGGAAACGTTTTCATTAGAACCTGGCTGTCCTCGTCCACCCTGGGGGGCCCGGGGGCCTCGCGGATGTCTCTGAGCCCGGCGTGGGGACCAGGGGCCTCTCGGATGTCTCCGGGGCCCAGCGTGGGGGCGTGGGGGTCCGGGGGCCTCGCGGATG